AGTAGTAATAGACCTAGTGAGGGGATTGTGACTTTGGATGATCAAGTCATTAATAAGAGTACACGTTTTAGATATCTTGAATATATTGTTCAGAGTGATGGTGACATAAAAGATGATATTATCAACAGAATTCAAGTTGGATGGTTGAAGTGGAGGAATGCATCAGTCTTGTTGTGTGATAAAAAAGTACCCTTCAAATTTAAGGGAAAATTCTATAAGAAGTTGGTGAGGCCTGCAATGCTTTATGGTGCCGAATGTTGACCATTAAAAGAGAAGCATAATACTAAGTTAAGTGTGGCAGAGATGAGGATGCTCAGGTGGATGAGTGGCTTTACCCTTAGAGATAGGATACGAAATGAGCATATACATGAAAAGGTTGGAGTAGCTCTAGTAAAAGATAAGATTAGAGAGAGTTGCCTTAGATGGTTCGATCACATTAAACGACGGCCTTCAGATGACCTGATTAGGAAAGTAGAGGTATTAGATTTGTCTTATGTTAAGAAAGGTAGAGGCAGGCCTAAAAAGACTTGATTAGAAAATATTAGAAATGATCTTTCTTTATTAGATTTAAACGATAATTTGACTTTTAATAGAATACAATGGAGAAAAAAGATTCATGTAGCCGACCCCACGTAGTGAGATAAAGGCTTGATGTTGTTGATATTGTTGATTGTTGTAACATAGATGTTGACCATTAAAAGATAAGCATAATATTAAGTTGTGTTACATAGATGGATGTGTAGGTGGATGAGTGGCTTTACTCTTAGAGACATGATACGAAATGAGAATATACGTCAAAAGGTTGGAGTAGCTCCAATGCAAGATAAGATTAGAAAGAGTCATCTTAGATTATTTGGTCACATAAAACGACCGCATTCTGATGTCAGTTAGGAAAGTAAATGTATTTGATTTGACCTTTGTTAAGAAAAGTAGAGGTAGACATAAAAAGATTTGGTTAGAAAATATTTGAAATAACTTTTCTTTATTAGATTTAAATGAGAATTTAACTTTTAATGAGACACAATGGAGAAAAAGGATTCATGTAGTTGACTCCACATAATGGGATAAAGGCTTGAATTTGGTGTCGTTGGATTCGTATTTCCGAGACGCTCAGTTTGATTGTAAGCTCGCTGAAATCGGAGTTCAGGTGCTTCCGGATTTAATTTTTGAAGTTTCCAACTTGATTTTTGCCTCGAGATTCGTGCCCGATCAAGTTAATTTTCGCATGACGTATCAATATATAATATGGATTGACTTAATTTTAAAATTTTGCACATGTTATAAACAAGCCTCAAACTCTCATCACGCTGAATCTTAGTGATTGTTGCTAATGGATGAAGCTTTTTTGTAATGCTTGTGATCAAATATAATATAAAATTCTTATTGAGTCTGTACTGGATAATCAGGTTGCTATCTGTGACAATGTCCTGTTAGTTGTGGTTGATTTGGGTTCTGTTGGTGATGTTGCTGTTGTTTCTACTTTGCTTGTTTCTGAGGATATGGTGGGTGGAGTGTTGCATGCTGCTCTGGACTCTCGGGATTGTGCTAGTGCATGTGGGCGATTGGGTTGTGTTGTTAATTCCTGTCCCAATTTGGGTATTATGTCTGCCCCATCCTGTTTGCCTGGGTATGTTGAGCCTGGTGTGGCTATGAATTTTTCGGATTCATCTTACAAGCCTAATGAATTTTGTTTTGACCGAGTGGTTGTATATGGTGTTGGCTTGGCATTTGTGGTTACTGCCAGTGTTAATGCTTCCCCTATTATGCCTAGTGACCAAGTTTCTAGCCATTTGGTTGATGTCCCGATTAATCTGGTTTCTCCTAAGGCTTTGGTTGATCATGTGGGTTCCAATTCGGGGGAGATTGTTAAGCTACAAGTAGATTGGATTCAATGCTCGTCTGACTCCTCTTCGGAGGCTAGTGAGGAGGATGAAACTGCTATTAAATTTGCTTTGCCTAAGGACCGCCCGGTTGTTTCTGTTTACGTGGTCGGAAATAATTGAGATAGTGACTGCTTCGTTGGTTGTTTTTGTCTCTCCTTATCCTCGAATTCTTGTTGCCTTTTCTGGTCATGCTTTTGGTGGCTTGCGATTTCTGGGCAATGATATGGCTCGGGCTCATCGCTCCTATCCGTGGCTAGTTGGCAACCTTAGGTGATGATTCTTATTAGCGGTGATGGTGGTTTTTGGCTTTTCCACTCCTCTGGATGGTTCGTGCCCGGATTTGAAGTGGTTCATAGTCTGCGCCATTACTGAGCTTAACGACCATTGTGCCTTCTTCTCCCTATTTGAGTGTACTCGTTGTAGCTTTTTCATTGTGTTTTTGCTGCCTTGGCTTTGTGGCTTGTTGGCATATACTGTATCTTTTGTG